GAACTCGCGTGGTGCGAGGGTCTGAAGGGCAGGGCAGGGGTGGATTTGGAGGTTGGTCCCGTGTCGAGGTGGGGCAAAGGTGACCCCCGCGGATCAATACCGCCGCCGGTCGAGCGCCTCCATAGCGTTCGAACCGCCGACGTTCTCGTATTTCGTCTCGAAATCAAATGCCATTTGGTCCAGACCGATTCGTGTAGGTTATTTCTAAATGAATCTGTTGCGAGGTGGTTTAATTTTTTGGTATATCGAGTATATTCGTTGAAAAAAAAAACGGACGTGAATTTTTTACACGAGCTTTTAGATAGCTTAGGAATTTTTTAGAAATTTTTTCTAACCACAGAGATGGGATAGTTCGAAACTGAGCGACAGTATTTTTATATTTAGAATGAGGATTCACTTCTGGAAAAAAAAATGAAAGATGTTTTAATGACCAACAAGGACCCTTTGAACACATGTTTGCGTAACACAATAAAACTTTTAACAATTTAAATGATTTTGTAGCCCCACCCCCATATTTTTTGGCAGTAAAAGCCTTACGTTTGAATTAATCCAACAAAAACTGAAACTCTCGTTTTCAATTACATACAGAAAAACTGAAACTTTATTAAGGTTGAAATTAGAGGACATTTCAAAGCTTTATTAATTATTGTAACTCCTCCATGCTAATGTAACTTTCGGTGAACAACATAACAAAGCAATGGCTTTTGTTTATTGTTTCGTGTGTTTTAATTGGCCGAATCGGTGCGCGAACGTTGAGGAAGTCGATTTCAGTACTTTCTCTTCGTTCTACACTCAAGGCGATATCGTTTCCCGCTGACGACGTCCGCCGCGGTTAAGAGAGATAAATGCCATTAATGGACTTCAAATGAAACGCCTGCTCTATAGCGGTCAGTACCGTGACGAGTGCCAAGAACGGCCCGCGCAGCTCAAAGGGCATCTTACTCATTTACTTCCCGCGCAGCGGGAAATTAAATTCGCGGTTTCTCGACCGCGTTTCCTGTTCGCCGTGCGGCAACACAATCATAATGATTTATTCATTTGCCATAGCGCGATGATTAATTATGAGTGTTTCACAATTATTTGGAAAGACGTTTCGAGGTATTTCGTTCGATCCACCGTTTCCGGCAAAACAAAACGCTGATCGACGTTATTTGTAGGATTTCTTTTTTGAAACTAATCTATATACCTAATCGTTGCGCAAATTATATTGTTTTTATCAAATCAGAACGCGAGTTGGAAAAGTTAGACCGTTTATACCCGAGATCGCCGCTTGCTTTCGCGGCATTTCGCGCGAGTTCTTCTTCTAGACAGGATGCAAGTCTAATTTACCGTCAAACTTGGTGCTGAAAGTCTGATGAACAAACGAGTATCAACGAAGCGCGACGAGTTTATGGCGAAAATACAGGACTATCCACTAGACTTATTACAAACAATAATTAACCAACGGAAAGTTCCATCAAACTATCCAGAATATATCACGATAATTGTTGATATAATTGTTAACTACTTTCTTATTTATACTACATTCATACTGTCAGATCCAAGAGATGATTAACACGCGCAAATTTAATCTCAGAGAGCTGTCCTGGCATTTTACTTCCCTTTCCACTATGATAATGAATATCAGAATAACTCGATATTCGCGATTTTCGCTCACTCATCGCGGATTAATAATCCAAATTTTTCTGTCGGTGCAAGGGATCACTCATCGCGATTAGTAATCCCGATTCTTCTATCGATGCAAGAGATATTTTTCATGAATTTCCGCAGGATTCCTTTTTCCTGGCAATGATTATCGCAAGTGAAACCGAATCGACCGGATTCAGGATGCCAATGTCCGGTGTCCACGACCGGAAACCAGCACGACGACGAACGGATACGATCGAATTACGGTTAACATACGTTACATTATGTCACAAGCTTGAGAAAAAATCGAATTGCATAATTTCTAATTGTATCGCCAATTTTGAAATACACGAATAAAAAAATTTATTAGATTGTAGATATTCCTTCGTGCATTTTCTAATAAAAACAGAACTTAAAAACAGAATAAAGATGTAAACTTCTTTCTCTTTTCATCCTTTTTCTACTCTGTCAAAATTCCTCGCAAAACTCACTAGATTTATTCGCATCGCAATCCAACGAATTTGTAAGTCAGAGATGTTATAGGAGCATATTAGAGCATGTAACGCGAATAAACCTACTATTACAATGAAATAATCTGAACTTAATGAAAATTAATAAAAATAAATTGTAAATATATTGAAACATAAAGAGAAAATGTAGAAAAATATTAGGAAAGATATTAAATTAACTTAAAAATGTATATTTGTATAAAAGAAATATTATGTAATTATCTATGAAAATGTTATGAGAAAGCTGAGAGATATAAAAGAAATTTATACATATATGTCCAACAAATAAGTTTAAAATACAATAAAAAGAAATCCTTTTTGCTCGATTTTCTATGTTACTTTTAGTTCACTTTTTTACTTTATCACTTTTTCACAAAAATTAGACCAATCTCTCGAGATTTTTCACACAACATTTCACTAAATGGACAATACACGTAATACTTCCCTCTAAATTTCTACTCTAAACCATGTATGCTTGAAAAACAAATGTTTAAGTGGAACATTGAAACGCTTATTTAAATAGAGAGAGAAAGAGAGAGAACAATAAAAAAAGGAAGAAAAGAGATGGAGCAACTTATTTATTTCACGCATGCGCACTCCATTTTGGCTAACATAAAATCAGGAGAGTTCCACTACTGTGTATACTGTGATATTGAGGTGTGATTCTCTAGAAAAATGTTACGTTCTTTCTTATTTAAAATAGAATTCCTGGTTAAATTATATTCATTATACATATGATCTGGTATTCGCGCGAAGAGTTACCTATTATCGCTTTCGAGTCCTACTACTATTCTTCATTTGTTTTTCGCGCTTCTCTTCTTTTCGCCAAGTATGTAAGAATTATCATCACATATACTGTTAACCTTGTCTGCTCTGGCATATCATGCTATATTTCTACCAAGAAGGTCACTGTCGTAGTCTTATCCGGATATTTCTACGTTAATCACACCCTGTCACGTTCTGAGGTAATAATTATCTACCTACAGATGCCGATCGCGTTAATTTCATAGAGAAATTGGTAATAGTAACATTCTTGAATGATCGGAGAGCGCAAAGGAATTTATACTTAAAGCTGTTGACCTTGTGAGTGACGTAACATTTCCCTATAATAATATAGTATAATAAAGTAAGCTTGAAAATCATAAAATGTAAATTGCATCTCGATTTACGTGAATAAACTACGATATCACTATTAATTTAATATTGTTGCATTTAAAAATTCTACTTATGCTGCTCTTGAACTAAATAAATCAGTCATTTGCATAACTGCTCTTAGTCATGTATACTTTAATCTTTGCATACATTTTTCTTAAATGCTGAAAATATTGCAAAGAAATAAATTTCGAAGAATCTTGATTACAACGCATTCGTCAACGTAACGCGATTAGATAGTAATATTTATCATCAGTTAAATGCGGTCATTCGCAGTATGTAATCTCGTTTAAAGGTTTTTTTCGATTAATGTTACGCATAATCTTAATGACATAAATTTTAATGAACACCAAGAAGATATTAAAGTAGAAGACTTTATTATATTAATATTATATTAAAGTAGAGAAGACTAAAGAACTCGGCTTTACACGATTTTATCGCAGTATTTCTTTTTTCCTTATCTTTAATTCGATTTATTTTTACATCATTCAATGCATTTAAAATCGTTCGATTCTATACATATATATATTTATAATATAAAATATTATTTTTCTCGAATTTTTCTGTATTTTAATAATGAAAAAATATTAAATTATTGCTATTTAAAATAATTACAGATTGAAAAATTTAAATAATTAGCTTTTTATTTTTACATTGTTATTTTGTTCCTAAGCATCTGAAAAATTCGATACAAACTAGCCATCCTGAAAGATACGGGAATAGTACAGAAATTGCAGGCTCGTGATGAAAATGCTACTTTGCGTGTACTTCATCCGCTAGGAAGAATTAATCGGTTTCCGCGATTCGTTCCACGTTTATATACTATACATACGCCGTGGCAATCCGTTCTGCAAAGCCCTCGCAAATAGGAAAACGTGATTAATCGAGATTCGCTTGGACATGTTTTTTTCTATACCCGCAGACGAAGCGCGCACCTCGAATTACTTGAATCTAGAGGCACGCTCTCGTCGACATGATTTCCCGTGCGAAAATTCAGTGCAGTTTTCCGCATCAAACCCCTAAGGGTTCGTACGAAGTAGAGCAAAGAAAAATCAGACGCGAACATAATGATAGACCTAGATTTTCTTGCCAAAATTAACATAATCTTCCTATAATATACGGACAGTGAACAATGATGTGCCTTCATCTGCAACGATCCCATTGCTCTGTCATATACACAAATGAAATTATATTCTATACGAATACGGTTATATCTAACAGATATTTCACTTTCTCTTATATTATTTCAAACAATTTGACATATCTTTCCGGAATTAAAAAATCAAAATGACCTATTGTATATTTTCTTTAAATTTTTATAAACGGATGTCGATCTTCATTAATTTATGGTCGAACGAAACGTTACGTATCTCTGACGATGCGTTCTCATAAGTATTTAACGCATCGCTCTTGCAGATTCGCCGACCGTGAAAATCACCCCCCGGCCAAAATCACTTTCCCCCTTCCTCGCATATCGATCCCGACTCACGTATCAATCTCTGTGGCTCTGTCCCCCTTTATCTCTTTCACACCCTTCCTCTCTCCCCCTCTTCTCTCTCTCTCTCTCTCTCTCTCTCTCTCTCACACATTCTCTCTCTCTCTCTCTCTCTCTCTCTCTC